CTAAGGGAGACGCCAGACACCCTGCGGAGAAAACCCATCTCGGCCGCTTGTATCCGCGATCTCGTTCTTTCGGTCATGACCATAGGTGAGGGTAGGAAGGAAAATGGCCCGGTAGACGGACCTTTCGTCACAACGGTGCGGTAAAGCGACTGCAGTACCGCTCCCGCTGCTCCGATTCTCCGGCCCGTCTCACGCTCCATTGTTCCCTCACTCGAGAACAAGACCCCGAGATACTTGAACTCCTTCACTTGGGGTAAGGACTCATTCCCTACTTGGAGTGGACAGTCCATTGGTTTCCAAAATGTAATATAGTAAAATATTGCAGTATTTACATAGAAATTGAATGGAATAAAAAGGAATAAAACTAATCCCATTACTAAGCTCCACATATATATACCATTGAACCTCACATGTTCACATCGCATAGTGCTGGCATGTGTGTGTGGTGTAAATGCAACCCTCTGCAGACCCTCTACAAGAGTGTGTGCACGCAGGTAGGGATTTTCTCAATGAAATATTGCCCATCAGCTGTACATTAGCCAATTGGATTCGAGCCTCAGTCTGCACACCGCACTCTCAGCAGCTCTTGGTATTATTTCTCTTTAGTCATTGCTTCAGTTCAGTAAGGGTTAATCTGCTCCTAGGCTGCTTAATACGCACAAAGGCAGAACTCAGTAACCTGCTGCAAACTCAGTATGCTGCACCACGCTTTCCTCTCTGTGGAGGAAACCAGTTTTTACCTCAAATAACGTTTTCTAGGTCGCACAACTAAATTAAGTTTTATTGCAATTGCAATATGGACTTTTGTAGTATTCAAATAGCACTTGATTAGTTGTAGAGTTGCAGAGCTATGCCTGGCTACAAAAGGTTTTCTATAGAATTAACATATTTTTTTGATTCAGCTTCTCTTAAAAAAATCACATTGTAATCATTCAATATATTTTTCAATGATATTGAGTATTATGATTAGAAAATGATCAATCCCTCCAATGTCGTGAATAATATCGCAGTATCAGTGAAAATAATCACAATTAGTTATTTTATCTAAAGCACGACTGTTTTATCTGCTTTGACATGCTTTTAAGAAGCTTACATTGGGACACTAAAGTCACACATAAACCATATTACTGTCTCACTAGTTTGGTTGTGGAAGACATTGTGTTTCTTCGTGGATTATCATTGCCTACATGCTGTAGTTGTCTGAGGTCTGTTGAAGCTTTTATCTGTGAGAAAGTGTCTGATAAGGAGTGAGATTCAAACAGAGACAGCTGCTGTGTCTCTGCAAAGATCCTCTTGTTAGTCGATACTGTCTGCAGCGCTGACTCTGTCCAAGGTCCCCTGCAAAGACACACACACACACACACACTCACACTCACACTCACACACACACACACACACACACACACACACACTCACACTCACACACACTCACACACACACTCACACTCACACTCACACACACACACACACACACACTCACACTCACTCACATGCCTTCACTCACTCACATGCCTTCACTCAGAGGTGTGTTGTGATATTCAGGGGGTGAAGGTGTGTGAAATGGAGATACAAATATTTAGCTCAAAGTAGTTGTTACTTGTCAACCTCCTTGTGTAATTGTTTTAAGTTTGCTGTTAAATATGTATAAGTAAGAGTGGGCGATATGGTGAAATAACACAGAATATATAATTTAACATCACCTTAACGGTTTATATTATGATACTGTAATTGTTGTGTTAATTTTCTTTGTACATGTTGAATTATTAGCATCTTATTAGCTAACTGTGTATGACTTTAGATTACATTGAATTAGATTCAATTGGAATATATTATATATACCTTTTAGTTCCCAAATTGGGATACTGTTTTTGTTACAGAAGCATCTAAACTAGGCATTAATTCAACATGATTTTAAAATCAACATAAACAGTAAATATAAACATATCAACACAAATATATTTATATATATACAGTATTCATTGAATGCACTAATTCAAATGTATAGAGTGAGTTAGAATATACTTTAATAGACCAACTATAACAATATTGATTTATGTATTTGTTTATTTGGCAGGGACATTGCACCTTAATGAACACTTAAGACATTACATGTGCCAAGTGTAAATGTGCCGGGTTTAGCTTTGAGCTACTTTCCATCCGCAGTCCCTCACATAAAACATTCAGAAATAAGGATGAAGTGAAGTTACAGTTTTTCAAATCAAATGAGGAAGTCAGACGTGAAGGTTTCATCGGACAACATGAAACGTCACGTGTCGCCACTTTTCATTCCCGGCCAGTAATCAAGGAACCAAGCGTTGTTTTTCTACCTGAGCACCAGTAGAACGGACCCTGAACTCATCACGAGGTGTTTTAAGAAACCCAACCAGCGCATGAAGGATCACAGAGGTCACTTGAACATTCCAGGGTGTCTCTTTCCCCACAGGAAGAGAGAGACATGAGCCAGCGCTTCCTGTGCCGTGGACACACTCACCTTTCATCACATTCTGCCACTCTTGAGAGCCTCTAACTCGGCCCGGACTAACACTGTGTAAACGCAGCGCTAACCTGCAGGCCGCAGCACTTTTAGGGGGCAGAGCGGTCCGATTACACTCCCCCGAGGGAGGGTCTGCGCTCCTGTCACGCCGCTGTTTCTCTGCGTTACAATCTGAGCATCCTGGGTGATGGAGCCAAGGTTGGATTAGATTCAGAGGGTCAGCCGGAGTTCTGCTCCTCAGTGACGGGAATGTTGTCGTGCAACTTTTTCCCCTTTTCAACACGTTAACATTTTTTCGTCAAGTACTCATGTGTGACTGCAGCTGCTGTTTCTCATAGTTGGTTCATGGCGCTTATGACTCAGAAAATGACGCGTTTAAAACAAACAAAGTGACTCTGTAGAAAATGTAATCTGGGTTTTGTTGCAGTGTAGAAAAACCTTGAAGATACTATTGGACATTTAAGGGTGTACCCCCAGTTTAATGGAGTAACAACCGAGTACACGACGCCACGAAAAGGTGGTTTTAAAGTTGATTTAATTTGAATGCAAACTCATATTCGGTCATGCCTTTTGGTTCTGCATCATCAGTACATTTCATTAAGATGAACTTTATTAATCTCTCACACAGGGATAATGAAAAAAAAACATGAAACAGTAGGTACAAATATAAAGGTTAATAATACATACTTAAACAAGGTATTCATGTGTAGGTGTGCGAAACCAAAGTAGGGTCATTCAGTGCAACCATTTTATATTATCAAGATAAGATTTGACAAACCTTTATTGATGTTGTAGGGTAATTCAGGTGTCTTAGAAGCAACATCAATAAAAACGGTGAAACACAGGATAGGAACAGTACAATTCACACGATAATAATACAAATAACAAGATGTGTTTCTCTCCCACTCACTTGTCAAACATGTCACAGCAGAGGCACAGCATACAAATATGGACCTGAAAATGAGCAGAAAATGGCCCCTTTAAGGGTGTTTACATATACACAGACATGGATAATCATGTTAAATATATATACATGCTTGTTTAGAAGTCCAAACAAGGTACACGATGGTGCAAATCACAAGTACACACACTGCAGGTTGTTTGAGGTTTTACGAGGGGCTCCAGCTTTTATTGTGGACCCTGATGGCTACAGGCACACGTTACTAAGCCATGTCTTCCTTTGTTGTGGCCTGGTGATTCAGGGTTATTTTGTCATGTAGGTCCCAGCCCTCTGAGTCGAGGTCTGTATTAGTTAGATGGCAAACCTCCGTGCTAACGCTGGCTCCTCCGCTGCTTCCCTCTGGAGTTCAGTAGGTTGTTGTTGTCCTTGTAGCGAATGGACGGGGGACGAAGAGGAGGAAGGAGGCCATGGAGCAGTGTGTGAGAAGCTGTGAGGATGAAGATGTGCTATTTCTGAGCAGCCAAACATGTTTTTCTTATTCCCTTTTAGCTGGTAGTGTTGTTTTTCTCACACTGGTGTATTGTGTGCGTTGGGGGTGTGCCACTAAAGGAACTCCTGGCAGCAGAACGATAACAGCGGTGGCACAAAGGAGGGTCAGCGCAGGTTAAAGCACACTCATCAAGGTGTCTAAGATTAGCTGTTATTCTCAGTATAAGTTTGCTGAATCACATTGGATGTCATATTATAATTCGAACCGGAAGTGGACGTAAACCAAAGAACCAAATGTCCTCATCGTGACCCTCTGGGGAGGCGATGGGAATCCCCTTAAACACCACAGTTCCTTTAAAGCAATATCCGCCTTTAAACAATGCCTAAATCTGCTTTTGTGCTGTACCCGATGATGTTGAGATAATGCCGTTTGTTTGTGTATGCCCACGTTCCCTGCCAGAGTACAGAGAACAACGGGATGTATTCTCTGCAGCAGCTTTATCAGCCAGGTCTTGGTGTTATTGTGTTCTTATAAAAGAGCGAAAGTCACACAGACATTTTTCTTTTCATTATCAATGTCATTTAATTTAGTGGAGAAAAATGTAATGAAGTTGACATCTACAGATTCCCTTTGTGTCTGACCAAAATATCAAATGTACCACAAAAAACTATAAAAAGGCGAGAAATCAGCACATCTCATTGATTAATGATTTGAGCAATAATAGTTTATAAAAAAAGGATAATTGAATTTATATTTCTTCAATAATGGCGTCAAAATACGGTAACATTTAATAGAATCTGCATGTTTTAAGGGTTAACCTTTTACTTAATCTCCCACTGTGTATGTGCTATTCCCTATGTTTATATATCGTTTTTCTACTTTAAATCCTCTTTCCCCCTATTTGTATTAATGACATCACAGTTGGGTTTAATGTTAATATAAAATAGAATCAGGGGGTTTTAAGTCGTCTCCTGTGTTGAGACTTAACGATTAGAAACAGTTATTACTTCATCTCACTGTGGCTGTCCTATTTTCTGTATTTCTACATTTATTTTGTATTTTTCTCCCTATTTTGAACGTACACTAACCCCTCCCCCCCCCCTCTTTATTCTCAGATGTGCACCCCAGCCAACACACCAGCGACGCCCCCTAACTTCCCCGACGCGTTGACCATGTTCTCCCGGCTGAAGGCGTCCGAGAGCTACAGCGCAGGAAGCCCCGCCTCCATGGCCACCTCCCCCCCGCCCCCCCAGGTCGGAGGCTGGGGGGTTTCACCAAACGTACCTAATGTGCCGCAACCTCCACTGGGACTCTGGACTCAGCCCTCCACGCAGCCCTGCCCCGCCTGGCCCACGGGCGTCAACCCCCACACAGGGGTGGAGCAGAAAGTTAGCGTAGCCATGGAGGCCGAGAGATGAAGGGCAGCACGGGACTGAAACAACTCCCCTTTTCCTGGGGAGGGAAACAGGGAGGGGGGGGGGGGGAGTAAAGAGGGAGGGAGAGGATAGTGGGTAGAAATGGGTTTTGGTCTTTGTCCCAGGAGTGAGACGGAAACTACGCAAAAACCAAGAAAACTCAACGTGGACATTTTAAGAAGAGGGGAGGAACCAATGCAAATGTCAATACAAAAAAATAGAAAAATGAAATGCACACACACAGTAATAAGAGAGAGGTCTTTGTTAGTTTTCCTAAGTAAATGCATAGATAAGATATTATTGAACTTAAAAAACATGTTTAAGAAATCGTCACGCCCAAGGATTCTATGTGTTCGAGGACATTCAAGGCAGCAACAGTCATCTTCTGTTTTAGTTTTGATCTTTTTTTCAGCCAGTGTTTGTTTGTTTTTGGCCACTGGTGTTTCTGTGTTTCTGTGCTGCATGAGGAGAGGGGGGACTTGCTTTGAGACGTGTTTTGAGATGGACTCAAACATCAACACGCACTTGAGTGTGTACGCATGTGAGCGGGTTTGTAATCAAAAAATGTATACACACACATATATATATTCGCACACACACACACACGAATACACACACATTTAGAGTTTAGAGGAAACACCTCCATACTGTCATCCCCATCGTCAAAGGTGGGGCTTTTCTTACCTCACCTGCTGGTCACCTGACTTCTTTCAGCCAATCAGGGATTCTTAAACCAAGCGTTGCCGCCGCAGGATGTTTTTAAAGGTTTTTGTTTCTTAAAGGCAACAGCTTTATGCTAACTGATCCTGGCTTTTCTTCGGACACAGTTTGAATCTCCGCTGTATACTTTTTCCAGAAGATTTGGGTTATTACAAGAAAAAAAAAAAGTGAGAAAATTATGGTTTAATATAATATCGTTTATAATGTTCTGTTTTTGTTCAAGGGGTAAGGGAGGTGGCTTTTCAATAAATGGGGTGGGACTTTCTGGTTGATTTTTTTTTTTTTTTTTAAGAGTGAATCAAACGCAGCTAAAAACAGCTACAGATTTATAAAAAATTGTTTAAAAAAAACTGCTCCATCTTTGTAAAACAGAATTGCCACTTTGCATGATGTGTTCATAACGTGTACATGAGGTCGAGGTGTCTTTATGGGAGGGGGGGGCGGAGTTAAGGGGGGGGGGGATGTGGGTCTCATAGATTAGCGTTTCTCTACAAAGAGTCACTTTGAGGCGAAATTGGAAAAGGGTCTTGTTAGAAATGAGAAACAAAGGAAAACAGGTGTGGGGCAGCTTCGGGGAGCCCACCACCAAATATTTGGGGCCACTACAGACTCCTTCAGATATACATTATATATATTTACCCTCAGATGCTGTACTACAGAGGGGGGGTTTCCAACATCTCTCATTTGACCGGTCCCTGGTCCATTGATACCGCAGAGGGGCGATTCAGGGAGGACCCTGATATACGGCAATATTTAAAAAAACAGGGTCTGCTCCGATTTAGTTTCTCCTGCATTATTTTTCCATTTGATATAAGAGTAATAAGAGATATTTTAAATAGATGAGGGTCCTTTTCTCAAAATTATGGATATAATACTGAATAAATAAGCAACTTCCTTTTTTATTATTATTTAGAATAATGTTTGAGTTCAACCTTTTCCATGCTTCATACTTTATTTGGTTAAATCAGAGAGCGTTTCTGGGTGGGCTTGTTCCTAAATGGTTTCTCATGTATGTTTCCCCCCACTTGTATGACTGTATGAGACCATTCCCACAATATTTGTGGACTACCTGATAATTAACTTATCATTTTTGTGAACCTAAATAAATATTGTATGTCAACCTAAGCGGTATTGGTTTACTGGGAAATGGCCTCCTGATTGTGTATGTTTGTGTGTGGTGTGTGTGTGTGTGTGTGTGTGTGTGTGTGTGTGTGTGTGTGTGTGTACACATACGTACACACACACACATATACGTACAGAGCAGTGTTTAGTAATGACAATGGGGAAAATGGATGCGTCATAATCTCACGCTTGGCTACCTCTCAGCCAGCCGGATTTAATACAGTCAGCCAGCCGGACTACACACTCGTGTCCTACAAACCTCACTCTCTCTGTCTGTCTCGCTCCAATTCAAACAAGCTTTATTGTCATGACCATAATGACAAATATAACAGACTACTCTATACAGTTGTGTATGTATACCAAAATAAAGAAATACATTCATGGTTGGTGGCATTCAACATCAAGACAAAATGATTGCTACTTGTCCAGCATATAGCTCATACTATATATACATAATACTTAAGTACAATTCCCTCATGTTGTGGCAGGCACTATTTTCCCAGTGGCTTACCATTTTAATTACATTACATTTTGATTAAATCAATTCAGTTCAAATGGCCCTTTTATGGTTTATGGGTTTTACCTTTCCTGTAGTGAGTTATATAGGTTGTTGTGTAGGATACAGTAAAAGCACGAAATACAAATATGAACCATTGCATGAAAGAACCCCTTTAGTATTTATATTAATATTACATCTCTCTCTCTTTCTGTCTGACAACTAAGAAGTCTGTCTGAAGTTTTAGAGCAAGACGTGCCAAATCCAAAATGGAGAAAGACTTCTGAAAGAGACCACCTCTATGTTCGCCTCCCTAAAGCCACTCCTCTCCAGATGTAAACACAAACTAACCAGAGCTGTCCACACACACACACACACACACACACACACACACACACACACACACACACACACACACACACACACAGACACACAGAAACACACACACACACCACAAATGCCAGTGGTGTAATGGTCATTATAGCGAAAGGGTCACAGAGTTCTCCGTGTCCCCAGCTCACCTCCTGGCTGCTTCCACAGAAAATAAAACAGTCTCTGCTGATAGTGTGTGTGTGTGTGTGTGTGTGTGTGTGTGTGTGTGGGTGTGTGTGTGTGTATGTGTGTCGCTGTGAGAGTGTGTCAGCGAGGTCGGGTTGGCATCGGGATCTGTGGTGCTTCGGAGTATGTGGGAACAGGAATATAAATCAGGGTTGGTACCAGAGAGGCACAGCGTGTTGGCAGAACACAGGGTCTCAAACTGGGGCGTGGATATGGAGAGAATCTGAATCTGGTTTTTGGCCAAGTTGATTTACAGATAAAGGACTTAGCTTTAAATGAGGCATACATAAACGCAGCAAGTGGAGTTCAGTTATAAAAAAGGAGCAACAAATAATACTATTATAAAAGAGAATATGGCAACAATAACGCCATTTTGCGATATCCAAAATCTAACACGACCGCTACTTAAACGTATTTCCCTTTTTATCACAACCTCACTGCAAAGAGTGCTGCAAATTGAAAATCTATTTGGGTGTCGTCGTAGTTTGTTGCTGTAAAATAGCTAATGCTAAGTACCCACTGTTTCTATTTACTCCCAACAAACTGCTGATGTAAACAAACATAACTCATATTCTGAAGTCATCACTTTGCCACGAAGGAGCCACCAGACACCACATGAAACATTCATCCTCCAGCATCTTAAGTCATCGGATTACATGACAGCACCCACTTATTACAAGAGGTTGAGGAAATGCATCGTTAACTTGAGTCAGATGTTGGTGTCCTGCTGTGGAGTTTAGAGTATCTAACCTTAACGCTAACAAGGTCCATATTTTGTTCTGGGTCACTGCATGCTGTGGACACAACACAGCCTGTGTAAACAGCGCTTTATTAGCCAGCTGCTGTGGGAATTACCACTGGTGATAATTGTATTTTCTGTTTACAAATAGGACTACTTTTCAGAAATGTTCCAGTCTTTTATTGACCTCCTTAAATATGTATCTTTCATGCCAACAGATCTTTTTATTTGTATTTTATCTTTGTATTTCTGGTTGTTATTCTGAACTGGAGAATCGTTCACAAACCTAATTCCCCCTTTGATAATTAACGTATTTCTAAATCTGAAATCAGTTTAAATGCACGACAGCACGACTATATCTTACTTCAATTCTACTTAAAGGCACCCTGTAGATCAGGGGTGTCAAACTCAAATACACAGTGGGCCAAAATAAAAAAATGGGTACTAGTCGAGGGCCGGACTGGTTCAATGTTTATTGCAAAACTTATTGAAATGAACTTATTGCACATATTAAACCTGGAACTAACAAAGCTTAAATGATTGCCTATAAAAACAACATGAAATAATCAGTTGCATTCATTTCTTATGGCTCTATCTGCAGCTTTTCCAGAGTCATTTCTTATGATTACATTTCTCCACAGGCCAACAACAGCTTCAACAAAACTATTTCCCTCAAAGAACAAACCAAACATGTCCTGCTGTCGTGAGAGAAAAAGTGCAGAAGGAAACATCCATTGAAACTCAGTTTGCTGCTCTGTGATGCTAGTTCAAGCCAGATACTTGGCATCTCATCTTGGGTGCAAGTTCATCAATGTTTGGGGTCAGGCTCTGAGCTGAGGAAGGTGTGCGTGCAATATACCGGCGGGCCAGATCTAATAGTAATAAGAAATTATCCTGCGGGCCGAAATTAAATCCACCAAGGGCCTGATTTGGCCCCCGGGCCTTGAGTTTGACACATGTGCTGTAGAGTTTTTGATCACTTAGAGCACTTTGGAGCAAATCATATACACATATTAGTGGGTCCTTTTTTTGGTGCTATTCACACTATCCCAGGGATTGACCACTGGTGGCAGCAAGGAACCTAGCATGCTGCTAACAAAATCAAAGAAGAAAAAGACTGCAAACAAGTAAGTAAAATGTCAATTTTGAGAAATACTTATCAATCATTTTCTTTAGTGATTACGCCACATGCATATTTTCAGATTTGAAGGCTTAAGTGAAGCACCAAGGAAGATTGGTGGGTGTTGTTTGAAAACAGGTCTGTGTGGCTAAGGAGCTAAAGTGTTGTTGGTGAATGCTAACAACAGAAATGTGGATTTGTTTTTGTTAGAAAATGACAATAGGTTTACATTTGGCTTTCAGAGAAGTAGATACAGACAAAACCCCAAATAGCATGCTTTAGCTCTTTAGAAACAGATACAAGAGAAATAAGAAGGTTTATGCAAGGCTATAGAGCAGAAGCTAGCTAATTAAAAGGGCTAGTAAATGTCATGTTAATCTACTGTAGAAGCCAAGAGAGTTTAAATGTATGGTCCTGTTGCTATTTATCAAATCATCCATTAAAAAACAATGTTGCTATGCATTAGATCAGCATGTACACTATAGAGTCCACTGTAGAAACAGACCAGGTGCTGGTGAAGTATGCAGGCGGACAGAGGGCAGTGTGTGTGTGTGTGTGTGTGTGTGTGTGTGTGTGTGTGTGTGTGTGTGTGTGTGTGTGTGTGTGCAGAGAGCAGAACGACCGTGACTTTGGGTTTGTTTGTAACCGAGCACCTAACCTTCCTCTGTTCTCTCCACAGGTGAAGGCTCTGCACCAGACGACCTGCAGCTAGCAGCAGGAGGTGGGAGAAAGGTGAAACATGTACACACGCACGCACACGCACGCACGCACGCACGCAGGCACGCAGGCACGCAGGCACGCACGCACGCACGCACACACACACACACACACACACACACACACACACACACACACACACACACACACACACACACACACACACACACACACACACACACACACACACACACACACACACACACACACACACACACACGCACACACAGCTTCTGGTAGGCATTATGTGGAGAATGTAAGAATATGAGTCAGTGTGAAAAAGTGAAGTAAGGAAGGAAATAATGGTGGCATATAGTGACAGAGTGAGTCAATGGTAAGAGGGTTTCATATTGTAGAAAAACATTGTTCATTTATTTATCATTAGCTGATGTTTAAAGAGATGTTGTCTTCCTACAACTGAAAGACTACAGAGATAAAGAAAATTGTAAAAGCTGGTAAAAATGAGTTGGGAAATGAGTGTGTGTTTCTCAATAATGTTGAATCATTCAGCCTCGGACTCTGTTCTTGGGTCGCCTGTAAACTGTTAAAGCTAGCCGCTAATGAAGCCTTCTGTCATGGCCATAACTACCATGATGCTTGACTTTTAATGAACAGATAACTCTGTGGTTTGAGGATTTAAATCCAGTTATTTATAGCAGGGTTTATGTACTGTTTGTACTTTATAGTTGAGCTTTTAAATCTCACATAACCCAGTAGCTTCCTGTCCAAAAAGAATATTGCTAGAGGAAATAACACACTCAAATCAGCCTGAGTTGTGTTAGCTTTCACTACTCTTCTGAAGGCAATAAAGTGTTGTTAAATATGTTAGAGAAAGTTGGATTTGATTTGAAAACCTTGGCATTATAAAAAATAGAAGAAGTTGTTTTGTTAGTATTCAAGCACTTCATGGCTTTAACGGCGCTTCTGTTGCTCAGACTCACAGTCACTCATATCTGCTGAATGTGTAATAAGGCAACGGGTTGTTAACACATCTTCCATATCAGCTTCTGAAGGTGATAAGATGTCAGTGCTGTGTTTACAACTTGTAGCGTTATCTGCACTCAGGTGGACACAATTGTAATGCAGCTTTAAGCATTATTATAACTGGAAATGTGTTTACATTAAAGCCGCCAGTCAGTGGGTTTCATGCTCTTGTTTGTTTACAGTAATTATTTACATTTCTCGAAATAATACGCCAATGATTCACTGATGTTAAACAGTGTCGCAACAGCACCTGGTACATCTGTAGTTCAGCCAGTACTGGTGTACCCGGCTCTGTGTGTGTGTGTGTGTGTGTGTGTGTGTGTGTGTGTGTGTGTGTGTGTGTGTGTGTGTGTGTGTGTGTGTGTGTGTGTGTGTGTGTGTGTGTGTGT